GAGTTTGAGGTTGTTGTGAGCTGTGATGCCATAGCACACTGCCAAGACTCTGTCTTAAAAAAAAAAACACTGACCTGGGCTTCTGCAACAGTGACCTGTTGCACTGCCTTTAAGACACCTTTTAGTCACTTTTTATTTATTTATTTATTTATTTATTTTTGAGACAGAGTCTAATTATATCAACCTTGGTAGAGTGCCGTGTCATCATAGCTCACAGCAACCTCAAACTCTTGGGCCTAAGCAACTCTCTTACATCAGCCTCCCAAGTAGCTGGGACTACAGGTGCCCGTCACAATGCCTGGCTATTTTTTTGTTGCAGTTGTCATTGCTGTTTAGCTGGCATGGGTTGGGCTCAAACCCTCCAGCCTTGGTGTATGTGGCAGGCACCATAACCACTGTGCTATAGGCACTGAGCCCTTTTAGTCACTTTTTGAAATAGCATGACAAGGACCTAATTTATACAGCCAACAATCATTCTCAGAACACTCACTACACAAGAGCCACCCGAAGGCCCTGGGGATTCAAACATAAGAAAGGGACAGTCTCTACCTTTAACAGTTAATTTGAGGTTTAAGATTTGGTGTTTATTTTTTTTTTCTTATAGCATAACTGTGTACATTAATGCAATCATGGGGTACAGTGTGCTGTTTTCATATACATTTTGAAATACTCTCATAAAACTGGTAGGTTTGGTGTTTATTAAAGAAGGGAATAAGATAGAGAAAGGAAGAAATAAACTACAATACAATGTAAAAAATGTTATACCAAGAATGAACAAAGAATTTATACAGTGATTTAAGAGAGTATAGAGAAGGGAGTCATTTACAAAGTCCTCACAGAACAGGTTACACCTGCAGCATAATTGTGGTTTTGCTTTGCAGTAACCTCAGATTATAAGAGGATACAGGCATAACTATTATAATCTATTGTTCTTTCTCACTCTTTACAATTAGAGGAAAAAACACTATTTGTGAAAGACTTTGAGTTGCAAAGACTAACCCCCCCCAAATCTCTATTTTCTTCATCATGTTTAAAAAATGAGCCTAACTTAAGGACTCTCAAGAAATCAGAGTCTCATCAAAGTTTGTGTAAACACACTCCAAAACAATGATGCAAAATAACTTTATATTCTAATCACCCTCTGCTGTAATATAGTATAACTAAAGTATTCGTTGCAATTTACACTAGTTGTTGTGGTAGAGGAATCCAGGGCATTCAAAAGCAGTGCAGCATCGTGCAATTATTTAGCAAACCAATTCTAAAATCTCAGGGGTAAAATTAAATGTTTATCTGAGCAATCATCAGAAGACCATAAAAATAAATGCATTCAAATCTAAGGAGAAATGGCCTTAAAAAAAATAAAACTTTAGGAAACAGTACCCCTTTTCTCTATACTGTCAATTTAGAGTAGGAAAAGTTATTTCCATTCAGATTAGATTCACTTTGTGAAGAGGCAAGGAACAAAAGATAGAATTATATTCTGAAATCTTCATAAATATATATTTAT